TGTGTAGACCTCCTATAAAGGATTCAAACAGGCCCGTTTCTTCATTTTAGAGGAAGCTTAAATTCCATCTTTTTGCTTCCTCTGCGCACAATAGCATCCAGCTCATGATGTCCATTTGGAAAAGCAGCTCTTTAAGACACCAGAAATCTGCAAGCGGGATGCATGACAGCACAAGCAATACCAGTTTATTGATTGACTTCTAGAACTTCTGTCCTGCCCTTCCCTTTCAATTTATTTGATATCAGAGGACATTTTAGGCAGCCAGCAAGCATGCTTGCCTGCTCAGATAGAAAATCTTTGGATCCGTCCTAACGTTTCATTCATTTACATAAACGTTTCCTAGGGAACTGCCTCTGTAAGTCAGGCACATTCCAGCCACAGCTACGCTAAACCTTCTTTAACTCGGTAATTTGAAGAGCAAAAGTGAAACAAGCCAAGTAATTATTTACATCGGATACAGCATGCATCAGAATTCTTAGCTATTTATTACAATCTGTTTAATAGTTGTGTTTAGGCAGCCCTACAGATATGGCTGGGTAGAACACAAGCACACGGATTAGCAAAATTTACTCCTTGATACTCTCGCGCCATACCTAGCAAAACAACAAAAAAGAAGCCAGTATGACTTCATCTCCTGAAGCTTTTCATCTGTCATGTAACACACAGGTCTAAGATCAAAAAATCTCACTAAAATATAAAGTAAAAGCAGATGAGTACTACACTGGAAAGCTATGCTTTGCGATTTACAATTCTACAGACTCTCAACAATTTCATAATACACTGCACAAAACATGCTATCCTTACAGCACGACAGCCAAAGTGTTACCCGAGAAAGCCTTCCTACGTATGCACGATCACCGGTGCGTTGCACAAAAACGGTTGGTCCTGAGCAACTAAAGGATGGGAATCAAGATCAGCCACACAATGCACTCTGGACTGCGCTAAAACTGTCTTCTAGAAGCCCCAGAGCAAAGACAAAAAAAGTCCAATAAAAAATAAAAAATAATAAAAAACCCATCCTGCTAGTAAAGGTGCCAGTAGTGAAATGTCTGCAGATAGGATAACATAATGGCTTGTGCAACGATATTCTAAGCTCCCAAAAGTTGATTTTATCTTCTTGACTGCTTTTATTCTGATAAATAGTGGGCTGAGAGGAAACACAGGAAATTAAGAGCTCCTAAATTTCACTTACAGAATGGCACAGCAAGCTAAGCATCAACCACCGATTTGTCCAGACTACCAAACGAAGTCAGAGCTCTACTTTGTGAGGAATTCAACGCTATTACTCGTGTTGAGCTTTTAAGAGTTGGCCGCCTATAGAACACTAGCATCCCTTTGTGAACTTCTACGTTTACTAAAAATATATGGAAATAGCCTCAGGTTTTTTGTTTTTTTTGAAAAGGAACACATGGTTCTTCAACTGCCATCAACATCCCACCTCTTTTATCACTATGGCAACTATAGCAGCTGCTTACAGAGTAAAAAAGCAAATTTTGTTAGTTTCTTCTAAACAAGGTTTAGCCAGAGAGCACCACTCTATCAGCCAGCTCTCCACGGACAACGAGCAGTATTTTGATTACATTGGTCTACAAACTAGAATTCAAGAACTGCATGCAAGAAATTGAGTTTCAGCTCACTTGAGGCTTCTAGTATTGTTTAGAGTCATCCCTGAGAAGACATCAAAAAAGCCAACTTCAAGTTCTGGCTGCAGACTCCACCCTGCACACACAAAAGCTATGAAGGCTTCATCATTTAGAAAGCAATAATTGTTAGTCCATTCCTCTCCGACTGCAGGCGGATGGAAGTTAGAGCACTTGCCTCAGGCTGCCTCTTATGCCTGCTTCACACCACCAACTAGGCAATCTGTACACGCCTGTGCTCTGGAGAGGACAAAAAATAGCTATGACTGCTCACTCCCAGCTCTCAATCATCACCAGAAAAGAGAATTAATATGCCCCTACTCTGACTTTGAAAAAAGCCAATGCCTTGCTCTAAAATCCACAATTAAAGTGCAAGACTGCAATATTTGGGGGGGACAGACATGTTCTCATCTACTTCCTCCAAGAAACAACGAATAAGGGAAAAAAGAAAAAAGCAATTAAGCTTTAAATATCCACAATAGGCCAGTTGTATGTAAAGAGATCAGGGAGGCCTGATCTCTTAGCAGAGCATTTTTACTGAGGGCTTATTTCTATTAGCAAGAGACGACTGTTGCTTATCTTTATGAAGCTTGAGGAAAAAACCCAACTCTCCATCTGTTTTCCTATGGAAAGGAAGTGACATGATAGACTGAAAATACTTACAAGGTGGACATCTCTGCTTGGGACAGAGTGGATTTTTTTTTTTTTTTTTTTTTTTTTTTTTTTTTTTTAAAACACTGCCTTATTTTTTTTAGTTGATAAGATTTCTTTCAAAATAAAAACTTTGTGTTGAGGCTTTAGAAACTGCTGTTACATTGAAACAGGCTGTTCTACAGTGGATTGGATATCAAATGTCACTTTCTAAAAGTATAAGTAATTTTGCCAGGACCCTGCAAATAATCCTGCTGTAATCATCAAATTAAAAATGAACTCCTTTCCCCCCACCCCAACCTTGCTGACCTCTAAGTATTTGTAAGCTAGTGAACACTATTTTGCTGCATTAAACAACTGTTAGCAAGAACAGGTTTTTATACTTCATAGTATATACATACATTTTCACTGAATTAACCAAAATCATCTCCATGACTAAATGAGGCTGCAACCAGTTGCTTAGGCAGCCAAATTGTATTTTAAAATAAGTTTTGGGCTGACAGTGAGGAGAACCCAATTTATCCACTGCTTACAATTCAGCTCACATGCAGTGTTTGTTTCACTTACATTATGGGTTTTTCTTTAAATTCTACATCAATGTAAAAGTCATATAGAACAACAATTGCATTCTAGAATGCAAGATACCTTCTTCGAAGGTGCTCCTGTAGATGGCACATCAATCACAGAAGAGGAGTTTGTGTAGTTTTGCAAATAGGATCCATCACCAGGGCTTGGGGTTTCTAGCGGCAAGATTCCAAAGCTTTATGAAACAAAGTGGAAGCGTCAGAGTATTAGACCATGAGAGCTGGCCTGATTCTGTTGTTAAAGCAGAGACCCAGAAGATAAAGCTTTATTTCAAAACTAGTCCATCGATTGATGTTAACCCCCCTAATATCTTACTTTCCATCTATTCTCATCTATAGATAAAAAAGATGCTTTGGTAAAAAATATTCTTATTCCTAAAATTTTAAAGCTAGAATGCTCTTAGCCTGCCTGCATAGTAACTAATACAAGAACGGCCCAAATAAGTGTTATGGCTTGTAACATAGTGCTGTTTCTTTAAATAAGACACCATGTAGGAAAGAACATGTTTAAGTGTTCTTTTAGAAGACAGCTCTTCTTCCAGAAAAACTCTTTGCACAGCTTTCCATATTAAACAGTTTGTTTCAGAGGAGAAACTCATTCATTTAAAGATTTTTCTAGTGTGAACGTTGCAACAAGCAATACACTGAATCAGAGTTCCTTTCTTCTAATCGCAGAATACCAACAGCTTCTTTAAAAAAAGAGGAGAGATGAAGAAACACTAGGGTGCAGACCAGTCACTGAAGTTGTTTAGCTTTTGCTTCTGCAGCATTACTTATAACACATTGCCAATATGGTTTGTGCTGCACATCATATTTGGAAATGCATCCCTCCTGTTTCAAATCACAGCAATAGTAGCGGAGCTAATCACAAAGAAGGTCCATCTCAAGGCCTTACCTGGGAGTTAGGGGGCTCAAAGCTGCAGGTCCCCCCAGCAAACTCCGTCCAGTTTTTGGTTTATTTTGAGCCTGTTTAGACAATATGGCAGTTCCTGATCCAAGAGGGACAGCATCTGGTGAAATTACAGCTGAGTCAATGTAAGACATGGAGGAATCTGTGTTCAGGGAGGAATATTTTGAATTGGAGGATTCCAAGTTGAGCCTATTCAACTCCTGAAAATGGAAAACAGCTGTTAGACACTCCTGCAGTGTAGTTTCTAATTAGTATTATTCACTTAAACTGGGAGGACAGCTTTAAATCTCTAAAGATTTTAGCAAAACTTACAATTGTGTCTTGTGGCGTTTCCATAAGGACAGTCTCAGGCTGTCTGTGGGATATGTTGTGATTAGATACCAATGTTGTGCAAGTGTTAGGCAGGCAGCTGCTGAAGTTTTGTAAAGATGTTAACTTAAATGTTTGGTCAGGGTCTGGTTTTTCACCTGTAAGATTGGAAGGAGATTTAACTAAGAGTTATTCCCAAGTCTACATGCTGAAGATCTGGATTGAAACAAGGAGGATAAAAGAAAGTATTTTAAAAGCGGTGTTTTTATTTCATTATTTTAAACGTCCTTACACTAAATCAGTAATGTTCTTCCATTGCTAACTGGACAATCAGTTTTATTAACAACAGACTTGCTTTAAGTTATTCTCCGAAGCAGTTATTCTGCTTAAGTTATTCTCCGAAGTTATTCTCAGCAGCATGGTTCCTAAGAGTCTACTAACTGTAGGCTGGAAAACACATGCAAACTCTAAAACTGTCTCAGTAATGCTTATTGACATAGTGAAAATGGAAGAAAGTGAGAGAGCTCTGAAGACCAGCAAATTATTTATCATTCATTATTGCTCCCCAAAACAATCTGGAAGAATTCTGCTGACATTTTCCTTACAAGTTCTGGACATGAGTAAAAATAAACCTTCCCATATGGAGATGGTAAATCAGAGAACTTGACACACTCAGAAGTGTAGAGAACGCCTTCTTCAGGGAAACAGTTCTGCCGACTTACCTATTTCACATAGTGATTCAAAAGGGGACCAGAGGAAAGGATTTAAACTAAGGCTCTTTTGGTAACATTCTGATCCTTTGGCAAGCCGATCCGTCTTGCTGCAAAAAGAATGCAACAGTTAAGGGAAACATAAGAACAGCACTTTTGTTCAAGATAGCTTTCCAGTAGAGTTGAAAAACAAAAACACGTTGAGAGCCACAGCGACATTCCTAACTTTTTAAGCCTCAGAAACAGAGCAATATTGAGTTGTTTTCAAGTTATCTGAAGTATTTACAGGCAGATGAAAGTCATTTAGATTCACGGTTTCCCCTCATTACTGTACTTAAGTGCTAGCGTATACTAAGAAAGAATCCAAGAAATCCTCTATTGCTATTTATATTAACCTCTCTTCACATTTACAAAAATCTTTCTTGTATCTAAGCAAAAGCAAAATACTTAAATATGTAAAGTTACTCTGACAGGCATCAGTAAGTTGGAAGACTCCGCAACATTTTACTTTGAAGAATACAGCTATTCATCTTTAAAACAGATAACAGGAAATCAAAATGGTAACACTGAGGAACAGGCCTTGAGAGTTTCACTTAGAAAAGCACGCAGAACAAGCCCCAGATTATTAAAAGTGACTCCCGGATTGCGTGCTTAGCAACCTGGAAAAGAGGCCTTTACGTTTTCAAGCACTCAGCAGCTCTGTGTGAAAGACACACTATGCTTGCGTTCCGAGTTAGTTAGCTTCCATAATAATCTATCTGCACCTATCCTACTCTGAAGCTGCTCAGGCTATGCAACCTAGAGCGAACTGAAGCCAGTGGTGACCAAAAGTTTCTTGGCTAAGGTTTGGCGAAATCAATAGGCGTGCTTTAAAAGACAAAATAAAAAGCAACTTTACCAATAGACATGTCCCAGTAAGGAGAGTGTAAAGCATGCAGAGTCTCCAAACTCCGTAACAATGTCATCATGGCTTTTCTGTTTATTCAACACTCCACCAGACAAGATCTGCTCTCCTTCTGCGAGCCTTTTTAAAAAACAAGAGGTTTAGAGGGGTTACAAGGCTCACAGTATTGGTAGTCCAGTGTTTTCACCCTGCTGCAAACAAAAACAGAAATCCATTGTCAGTGTTCACAAGTTTCAAATCACATCCAAACTAGTTCCTAAAAAATACATTTAAAATAAGTGATTGGTTCCTTTAGTAACACGGAGGGATGCAGTATTCTGAGGTGGAACATCTCTACTGGGGTGTGGGAGTAGCCACTCGCACCACTCAAAAAACAGAAACACATAACGCAAGATTATTTTTGCAAGAGTGCCTGACCTTAGGTAGAACACTAAAAGAAAGGGGTGGAGGAAAAAAAAAAAATCTTCTAGTCACTTCATTTTTGAAGGCCTTTCACCTAGTAGCAAGCTAAGGCAACAATTGGGAAATCAAGCCAAGCCAAGCAACAAAGGCATCCTATTAGGTTCCACGCATTCAGTTCTTAAGATCCAGTACTGAGATATGGCACAAACTTTGGATTTTAATGCCTTGGTTTCTTACAAGAGAAGGGCTCGAAAGGAGAGCAAAGGCTTAGCTTGCATCTACTACACCTGCAGCGAGCAACACTGCTCATTGGGATGCATCACCTTATCAGGCTTGAAAATTTTAAACAGCCTCTTTTGAGGGGAAGGAAGGAATTTCTCTGGCATTTCAAACTGAAACCTGCATAAACAAATCTCCTTTTCTCCCCTCCATGTGAAGTTACGCTGGTATGTAGATGCTTCTTTCAGTGTAGACTGTTCCCACAAGAAAATAAGGGCACATTTATACAGAAGTGACTGAAATAATGTCAGTGACAGTTAAATTTAACAACTTCTACAGAAAAGAAAATTTTCTTTAAAAAAAGTTTGTTTTTGTGATTTTTAACAATCCCATGCATCTAACTGAAATCTGTTCAGAAGCTACAAAGTCTGGGGTGTGTGTGTGTAAGAGGAAGGGGGAGAGAAAGAATGACCAGCTCCAAGCTTATTCCACAGGGACCTTTCCAAGTAGAGCATTAACATTATTTCCAACTCAACAGAAAACACAGCGTGGAAGCCTGTATCCTAATAACTCCAGAAGCGTTAAAATAACTCCAGAACCCAACAAGTCAAGATATCCCCGATATTCCAGAGAAGTTGAACTTTTTTTTGTTGCCCAAAGAAGGCCACTTGTAAACGTCTCTCTACCAAAGACCTTGTTTTTAACAACTCTGGAGAGAACCTCACAGTATTTCAAGTTTTTTGAAAAAAAGGGTTTTGCGTCCCTTGCTCCCTCACCCACTCCATTCTGCAGACGTGATATATACCCTTATTACCAAACTCTCAGGGCATTAGGGCCTGTACCTTAAACATCATCATTTATATGCTCTTGCTGTTAGACAGACTCCAGAGAACCAGCAAGATACCTTGACAGTGCTATGTCTCTGTTTATGTGCTGTTTTCACTATCAAAATTTTCTTGGGTGCGGACTTAAGGTTTTTAGTAAGATTTCTGTCTGCCATCTTTCCCCAATGAATAAGTAATGGGCAAAGAGGAGGCTGTTCACTGTCTTAGGGGTAGCAGCCTGTTAAATTCACACTAGAAACACTTGATGAAATAAGTCAAGGTAATGCAGTTAGGAGGAGAGGAAAAAAAAAGAAAGTATTAGAGAGACAAAACCAAAACAAGCACTTCCCAGACTGGTCTCCTTCAGTCTTCTCAGCATCAGCTTTCCACCCCCCTCCCCACACAGTTTTGACAACTCCTTTGTAAGTTATTCAATACCTTTTTAGGTGTTTCCTGCAATATGAGCTAATGTTGGTTAGGTCCATATCTGAAAGCAAAATGAACTACTTATAATACTCTTTCAATTTGAAGGATCAATGAATTACTAGTTTATGCAACGTGATAGCTTTCAAAGAGAAATTCAAACAAAAACATGCATTTGTAACATTGCAACAGAACATAACGGGTTTACTCACTTGCTGAGGTCAACACAACATTTTGCAAGCAGGTATTTACACTGTGGGGTAGTACAGCTATGTCCCTTCAGAAGCCTGTATGCTTTATATGCCTTTCCTGAGCGGTAGTAACATGTTGCCAGTAAAAACAGTGCTTCTTCTGAATGTACTAAAAAACAAAAAGAGGAAAACACTCACTCATCTCTTTCTTTCCTTTTTTTTTTTAAAAACCATCTTGATGCACGCAGTTGAGAGGTAAAAGGCAGCTAACAATAAGATGCAAAAAACCCAAGTACTGATGTTTCAGATTGAGATGTACTTCCTTTATTAGTCAGCATATAGTGAACTTCAACATGCAACAGTCTTGTATAGCCAGATCAACTCTTAACATCTACTGTTGCAAGAGAACTTTGATCCTTCTGGCTACCCCATCTAAATATGTTATTTGCCAGCTTGTTAGAATAACAGCAAGTCAGGCAAAGTGAAGCTGTGATTCCCAGTACAACAGAACTGCTTTAACAACTTGTTGGCCACAGCGAGACTTGGCTCAGAATATTATCACAAAACATTTCCTAGTAACACTTTGCACTAGTTTAAGCAGTGCAGAAACACTGGCACAATGATATCTGTCAGGAAGCAAAAGAACTTTTAAGCAGGGAGCATCAATTTCAGCCAAAGTACCTTAATTAAGAGTTTTAATCCCAATTTCAAAGGGACTTTTCCTATTTCTGTTTTTACTTGTTATTTTTCCTGAAGATCTTGATTGTACATTTTCACATGACTTAAAGCAAATTTTATGATTTTAATTACTATTAAGGCAGATCAATTTCTAGTCACATCTAGTCCTAACATTAAATCTAGTCCTTTTTGCTTCCTACACCCATTTTTTTGGGGGGAACATTGCTCAACGTTACCTTTCAGATGCTTTATTTATGTAAGGAAGCAGTGATAAGGACAAGTTTTCCTGGAAATCCTCTCCAAGCTTAGCCCTGACAGGTTTCTAAATTCTGAATGAAGTAGTCATCTTCAGGAAGATGAATCTCTACCTAAACTGAAAGCTAGAGTAAGCAAGATGGAAGCATTTCTCTATGACAGAAACAGAAAGTATTTAGATGCATCTGTTTCAACATTTCTTCCGTAGCAGAGAGAGTGTTCCATCGCAGCACAGGATATATTCAGAGCTTGACTTTGCACCCAATTTAAGACTGACATCAGCTTTGCTGATTTTACTTGATTATAGCATAAAGGACAGACAGCAGCTAACCCCTGAAGTAACTTTAAAACTTAACTGCACAATTGGAAACTGGAAATTAAAACACCAGAGAACACACATTTGTGAAGCAACTGGGAGCACTACCATGCTGATACGCTAATTCTACTGTTAAGCTAGCGATGGCGTGAAATATCGGTACGTCTTCATTTTAGCTCCCTTTCCTGGCCTTTAAGGAAAGAAATATCCCGGTATAGTCACCGATTATGTACATCCATGGCATTTTACTCTATTCTTTGTACTTCCCAAAAGTTACTCTTAAATCACTGACATGCAACAAGCTATTTTACATCAGAGAAAGGCTGTCTATAAAGGCAAGCAATTTAAAACTTGAACAATTTCAAAACACATTAATTTATGCTTTTCAGAATGCACTACCATGCAGATGGAATTCAGCATTAAAAAACCACCATATAATTATGATGGTTCTTCACCTAGCTACATGGGACTCCTTAGAAAAATCAGTATATAAAACGAGTGTTGTACAAAAGCCATCTGGGCAGCCTGCTCAAGTCTTTTGCTACACTGAAAACAGACTAAAGTTTGTGTTTAAATCAATCAAAATCAAATACATTAAAAAAATATAAATAAATCAAAAATAAGAATTCGTGCTTGTCAAATCAATTCTTTCATCCACTACCTTAACACACTTCAAGAGTCCTTGGAAATTAGGAAGCCACAAGTTTCCACAAAGACACCAACTGCAGGTGGGCAAAAAAAGTTTTTTCAGGGCAAAAACCTTGTGACCATTATGGAATCGCTGTATTTAGGTTCAATAGCTTCTGCTCTGCAGTATAACTACTTATTTTAACCAGAAATCAAATGTTTTGTTAGTAGTTAACTACATGAGAGAACACTTTGTGTTCTCTAAGCGCTGCTGGCCACCCAAAAGAAGCTGAGATATTCTTGCAGAATATTACTCTCCAAAGATAAGGTCATTGTATCAGGCTGTGTATTTTCTCTTGGCTTCAACAAAAAGGGGATGCTCTTTGTTTCTATAGCCTTGGTAATTTCCTTCAACCTAGCATTTTCCTGTATCTCACAACATACTGTATTCAGGGTAAGTTTGTCATCCTTAAAAACTATTTCCTTTATATACAGCTTGACGGCAACCCTAAGGCTCCCATAATATTCCACGCATTTCTCATTTGAGCACCAGCTGGAAGAGCCCACATTTCTTGGGTAATCTTGCCAAGGCAAGAGGAAGAAAGTCCTTATTTCTCAAAAGTTAGATGTGTGCTTCCAGTGTTAAACAGTGCATTATGGGCACGTCAGGCAGTATGCTGTAGAAAAGGAAACATTTCATTGCAAAACATAGAGCATGAAACAGACAGAATGTTTTAATTAGTGTTATAAGCTCAAGTTTTGTTTAGCATGAAAAGATTCAAATGTGTATTTTTCAGCTTAAGGCTTTATTTTCCATGTTAGTGATTAGGGGATAATATCTTTCAAGATAGAGAGGAAAAAGAAAAGCTGAATATCAGTATCAAGGAGAAAGAAGTAGAGAAGGAAAAAAGCTTATCTGAAGCCATAGAGGAAGAGATAAGAAAGAAAAGGACTAAAGCACAAGAAAATGGTATTTGAAAGACCCGAGAGAAGTAGAGATTTGTGTTACCGCCACCTGCTTAGTATCCAAGCTATATCATAGATCTGGCAGCATTACAATGAGGTAACAATTAACAAGAATAGAATTGGAGGCATCTATTCCATTTTATATGTTCTCACTATCGCCATCTCAGTTTCACTTTATACATATCTCCCATCATCACAAGATTCATTCAGCTATCACACCAATCAACACATCAGAACAGGATTATTGGTGAAGCTAGATTTCAATATCAAGAAAGTTTGCAGAATTTCCTCAAGTCCCCTCCTGAAAAACATGCAGTTCTTAAGACAATTTAAAAAGAACCACACAAACAGAAACTCCCCCAAAAACCCAACTCCCCCATCTGACACCATATAACAGACCACTGGAAACTAAATTACACTTAAGCACTTGACTCCAAGTCTAATTTTTCTTCTCCTGGAAAAGGTGGTTGTACTCTAAAATAACATTGCTATTGTTACAAGACTTGGTTTTTCAACCTAATTGTGAAGCATTCTTCTGCTTTCCCCAGGCAGAAAGAAATTAACTTTTACTGCCACAGCAACTGGTAGAGGACAAAGCAGAACCAGAGGCTTAAAATCCTAAATCAAAATTGAAAAAAAAAACAAACCCAAAACAAAAATAAAAACCAACTTCACTTTTGCAAAGTACACACCTTCTGCATATAATCTTTCTGCGAGGAACACTGCATCACGGTAAGCATAGTGGTTAAGTGCCTGCCATATAGCAGCCTGTAAAACAAGAAAATAAATCATTTCAATTATTAGTAAGGAGATTTAAAATTCTAACTTAGCACAAATGTCATTAACAGTCTAAGAATATAACCGGCACTCACTTGTTATGGTACACAATCATCTATAAGCCTCAGCCAAGATGCTCTGAAATAGTGGGGAATACTTCCACTCATTACTGAGTTTGTGTTGTGCATAACTGGGCATGGATTATTGCAAACTAGCACCAAATTATAACATATTAAGAAAAGGTGAGAACAAAAACATCCCTCAGTTGGTTACTAGAGGATTTGTTTCTTTGGGGGGGGGGGGGGGGGGAAGAAAAGCAAGCTGCAGTACCCAACCTGTTTTTAAAGACACTGTGCACAAACTCATTTTAGCTGTCTCGAGATATGACAAACTGAAAACCAGCAGGACTGGGAACCATGCCAGGGTCCGAGGCTGTCAAAAACAGACTGCTGTTGATTAAGCCTGTTAGGTATATAGCCTTTTCCTTGATGAGACATCAGTGTTCCTTTAAGAACCAAGATGAACGTGATCCACTGCTTTTTTGTTGTGATGTTTTGCGTAGGTCTTCGCTTACCAGTCACCTCTTTACTGCCGCTGATTAGGGCTGTGAAATATCACATAAGAACGCATGAAGTGGAATGAGACGGACAAACGGACATACGCAGACATACATGAAGGCAAATTACTTCTGCGCATTGCTCGTATTTGCCCATATCTGGTCAAAAACAGCCACCTGCCTAACCGTACTCATCTTCCTTTTTCATCGATGAAATTAGAGTTTGCTGTTAATATGTTAGTAATCAAGAGGCCTCAAAAGAGGGTAGCGTTCTAATGAAATGCAAGTCAAGTATAGGCGTGTACATACTGTGTACACCATTAATTTAAAGCAGTGTCATAATTACTTGCATTGTTGTCATTATTAGCAGAGTTAAAAGCGAGAGCTGTCCAGCAAAAGAACCGAGTAGGGTACGGAAGTTTCACAACAAACACGACCAGGTTCACTTGCCTCAGATCCGACTAGAAACTGTTGTTATCTTTAAGAAAAGAAGTTCTTTTTCCCATCCCACCCCTTTAACATCTGTTTGGTCTTTCCTTCCCACACCTATTAAAGTCTGCGGCGTGCTCGCTAAGCTGGGTTTGTTTTCTGAGGTGAGATGGATTGGTATCGGCGCTGCAACTCCTTCCCATCTGGCAGTCTTGCAAAGCTGTTTCCCATAAGCTAGCAAACAGCCATTTTGCAGTAGTTTTGTCATTACGGATCCAAACAAGATTCGAACTTATGAACTCAAGGCTCTGTGGCCTAATATTTCTCCAGTGTTTAAAAGCAACTGAAGACAAGAACAGAAACCAGCTTCTGATAACGTATCAGACGCTCATCTCTTCCAAAGCTAATGATGTAGCACCCAGTAATGCTATTCCCAGCAGGAAAAGCAAGTGCCAACTTATTTAAAAAAACATTTCCAACATCACATACAGTTACATGTACCATATGCTACTTCTTCCAACACAAACTCGACAAACTCGGGGTGTGAAAAATGTGCGAGTTCTCTTCACAGGAAGCCTACACAGTCTTTATGAACAGTACACATCAGAGTTTCTAATTACTATATAGAATATTATATACAAAAATCTCTCCAGAGATCACTATTTTCTTCCATCAGTATATTTAAAAGTCAACAGGTACTTTTAAGCCCCTCTGAAAGTCTTAAAAAAAGGTTTGTTTGTTTTTTTTTCTCCTTAGTTTGCTATACTGTGAACACCTTATTTCTCTCCAGTTGCATTCCACACTTACGACAGCTTCAGCCACAGAGTCTGCCTGAAGCGATTACTCCGCTTTGCCTTAAAAAGCTGCAAGGCCATATATTGTTCTGCACCCCTCAAACAGCATGGTATAGGAAGTACAAGACAGAAGAAGTATATTCAAATCTTTGAGACTACATCCAAGTTAGAGCAGCCCCTAGGTTTCCTTTTGCTCTCCAAAGCTCTTCCTTTCTTCTACCGAGTCACAAGAGACATTCAGGTGAACCTGTCCAGGCTGTGCTATCTTCAGGTTAAAAATAGTTGTCTTTACACGGTGGTAACTCAGCGTGCTTACAAGACAAAGGGGCAGAGCAGGGGACGGTGGTGATGAAGTCAATGTTATTCAAATTCTCAAACAAGAGCAGGTTGCCAGAAGCAAAGTCTTGCTAAAGCTGAGAAAGGACACCAGTTATTTTTGTCTATGTCACAGTCACATTATAGAAGTTATACTATGTACTGGCTCAAAGAACCATTGCTGCTAAGCAGTATCCCAGTGAAAGCAAAAAGTCAACTGGTAGACTCCATGTTATATACTTTTTCGTTTCAAGATGACAATTATTGTAAGTTGGAATCATGCCTTCGAAAGATAAACTCTGAAGACTGCATCCTTGCATATACTGTCCTGCAATAACAGGAAGGGGGAAGGAAGGAGGCAGGCAATCAGCCATACCTGTGCAGTAATTGTTTTCTATGAGAACAGCAGAATTCTCAATTACAATTTTGTCTCAAGCTACTGCAAAAGAAGATTTCTTGTGCACCTTTCAGGAAGCAAGTTTTGTATTCTAGTTCATTGCATCTATACAGCATTAGTGGCTTCGAGAGAACTGGGAGACTCCCAGGCACGCACATGACAACCGTTAAACCAGTGCATTCTAGGATATTTAAAGAAAACCCACAAACAAACAAAATTCAACTGAACTCCAGGAAGAGTGGTCTAAGGCAAAAACTTGGGGGGCATTTATCCAATGAAAACTATTTAATCCCAAAAGACTTTTTAGAGTAGGACTAACCAATACAACTGTACCACTTGGCTTCTTTCCTGTGGTAGGGATCAGATTTTATATGGGATCCGTCAGTTCAGACCCAAAGAAATCTCCTCAGGACCATGCAAAAACTCAGATGTTTTGGTTGCAATATCTGTTCTCGGGGCTACAAATAATTATGGACAGGAGGGAAGCTTGAAGCAGTTCAGCAAAGTTGTATTTTAACATGCCTTCCAGAGCAGATAAACCTCCAGGTCCTAGTTTCCCTAGTTTTCTGAGCATATGCGTTAGCTTGTAAATGCAAAGCGAATAGGGAACTCCTAAACTACCGTACCAGCTACAACTCAGTGGCAAAGCATCCTCAGAGAGAAAAAGCAAGAAAGTAAAAGCCTATCCAGACAGGTCCATCTTCTACCCAGAAAATCCTGTGCGTTGTCCAAGAGTCACTTTGCAGCTAAAGCCAAGATCTCTCTCAAAAAATTGAGGTTCTCTTTGACAGTTACATGACCTTGGAAATTATGTTCAAAGCTTTATAGCCTATTAACAAGCCCAACAATCACTTCCTACCACAATTTAAGACTTGTTCAGAGGGGGCAGAGGGGAGGAGAGAACTTTCAGTGACACTTGCTGCATTTACTAGTTACGGAAAGTCTATCCATTAAATAATTGAACACTGAGATACTAACAGTACAGGTATACAGCCATAACAGCAACACAGCCTTGGAGTTAAAGCATCACTCAAGTGGATCTCAGCAGATGATTACCTTGAACAGTTAAAGTCTAAGAAAACCATTTGTTTTCAGGATGTTTTTCAGAAATATTTTAAAAGGCATTCAATCTGCTTCTCAGCACATGGGATAAATGGCTTTATGTTTGAGTTGAAGAGTTTTAATCGACCACAACAGGAAGTACAGTAGGGGTCTGTTCTCTACTTAAACTCTGGCACTTTTATTCATATTAAGGGTACGTGTGCGTAAGGGGAAGCCTAACCAGTGAACTGGAAGCTTTTCAGGACAAGAACTTCATATACTTAAGACCCAACATTTACAAGGCAACATACACACAGAGATTTCATTGTTTATCTGCCACAGTTCACATATTACGACTGTAAGGATGACAGTTTTTCCTGGAATGACAAACCCTGTAGACATTTGCAAGCCTGGGAGAGAAGAGACAACTAGACAGGAGAAATCTCTGGAAGGACAAAAAAAAAAAAGAAGAAGTACCACCACCACCTTTTACAAAAATATTGTTAAACACACAACAACAGTCAACCAGAGATAAGTACTTGTAATTTTCAGTTCCCATTAAGGCTGGAGTACAACAGACTTCATTTTGCAGTATGAATTTAGATTGAGACTGATCACTGGACACATTACATCAATAACACAAAAAATATGAGCTGTTTTGGAAAGTCACTGTAATATAGCGGTCCAGTCCCCACACCGCTGCCCCATCCATCCCCAAGAAAGACTACAGGTGACCAAGGCAGCCAGGCTTCTGTCAAGTCACCAGCACAGAATGGGGAAGCAAGCAACTAAAAAAAAAAATAATCTGTTGGAGGGCAGAAAAGGAGCGAGCACGTTTAGGAACAGAAATTCATTCAAGCACAGTCAGGACCTGGGGAAAACTCAAATGTTGACTTCGTTTTGGAGGGTGCACTGGTTACTTCCCTGCCACTGAAAGGAGCAGTGGGACCAAGGCTACAGCTACCAATAAATCCTACACTTACTAGTACTGCTGTAAGCATAGAACAGCAGCAAGGCAGACAGTAGTAGAACCACTGACCAAAGAATTATTTGGCATTTCAAAGTAGATGGAGTCAAAATGGATATATTCAATCTAGCAAAGCCCCATCAAAACATATTCAAAACATATTGGTAAGTGCTCGAGTATGGAGAATGTCATTAGATAGGTCTCTACATTTCTGAAAGAAAATAAGACTGCGCTTTTCTGCCAGGGAAGTCTCAGAACAACAGATTATTTTCCACTTGGTTAGTCTAATTAGCACAGTACCGGAAACATTAACTATTGTTTCCTGTCATTCACTCCAAAATACACATTCTTCCTTTTCTATTGTAAATGTTTTCCTAGAATACCCAACTGATGCAAAACAGCAGTCCAGCTCCAGCATCACCGCAACAGCTTGAGTACAACCACTGCAGAAGAGGAACCAGCTGGCTGCAAGCATTTCCAGCACCCCATTGACTGCTGCTCTCAGAGCAGACCAACAGAACAACAGCACCAAGGGCACAAACCCCCGCTCTGCAGCAGCAGGGCCATCACTGCCACCATTTTGCATGGACAGGGTCAAGAGAGCAAGGTGGTCTTCCACAGAAATCTTTCTTCCCCCTGATCTTCTTCTCATTAAAGGAAGGGAGGAGAGCCATAAGCAATGATTTCACTCTGTTCATTACAGTACAGAATTCCTGTACTAACAAAACACAGCGAGAGGTTCTTCACCTATCAAGGGAAAAAGTGTTAGAAAAGCCAAAATACAAAAGGAAAAAGAGGCATGAAAAAGAAGAGCAGTTAATGGAAGATTACAGAAAGGCTGAAGCAATGTGCATATAGGAAAGGTGGAAAGAGGAAGCAACTTCTTTAGTTTATGAATCCTGTGTTTTGGATGGGAAGACTAAACCAAGGGTGGGAAGTCCACCAGGAGAATTGCAATTAGACTAAAATATGGTAGGGAAACGATGACATTTACATTATTTTCTCTTCCAGGTCTCCTATCAGTCTGACGATACCAGCTCCTGGGGAATAAGGCACGTCCTTCATTCGCACGACACATACAGAGCCAAGCACACCGTGAGCATTTAATAAAAGGGAAACGGCAGCAAATGCCGACAGGTAAGCGAGATGGAGAGAGCAGCATCAACAGGTCTCCCGGGGGA